GGGGTGGGAGGCGGGCGCAGCTTTCCCACCTCAAGGGGAGGTAGAAATGCACCCCCAAACCAAGGGGATGAGCACCCTCCTGCCACACGGACCCTGCTCCTGGCACAGGGGGATGTGGGACCCCCTGTCCTGCTCTGGGGGGTACAGACTCACCCCCCAGCACAGCCCTGGGGCAGAGGAAGGGGCAGGACCCCCCTGCCTGCATTGCAGGGGTCCAGCAACCTCCCCTTAAGGAGGGAACCCCAGAATTCAAAAGGTTCCCAGAAGAGCCCTGGGGACAGGCAGGACAGCAGGAGCCTCTCACCCCTCCTCACTCCCAGAAGAGTCCAGGGCACTGTGGGGAAACTGAGGCACCAGAGCACCCCACGCAGGGCAGACTCCACATGGTGGGGGTTTCAAGTGCTGCCACGGGCACTGAGGGCAGCAGTGTCACCCCCTGCCCGGTGTGGGCCCTGGTGAGAGGCTGTGGCACCGTGCCAGGCTGGTGCTGAATAATTGAGGAGCATCGAGGTGCTGGTGCCACTGGCTGTGGCAGCTGGAAAGCTGGCTGCTGTCCCGAGGGAGGGGACAAGGAGAGGACCTGGAACCTGCTTCCTCTCCCTGCTGCTGCGTGTGGTGTTGGGGTTTTTTTTTCCCTCCCTTTGTTCTGCCCCAACTCCCAACAGCTGGTCCTTGGGAGCACCCTTGGCTGCCCTGTCAGCTCAACCCCACCAGCCAGGGTGGCCATGGGGCTGCTGTCCCCAAGGTGATCAGCCACCCCCATGTCCCAGGGCAGGTCACGGTGTCCCCTGGGACACTGGGCAACCATCCCCATGTCCCCATTCAAACTTGGGACCTTCCCAGGCTGCTCCTTGTGTCTCGGTGAAACTTGGGTCATTCCCCAGGCGGGTCCCAAGGTCCCTGTGAAACCAGGAACATCCCAGGGCAGGTCCCCGTGTCCCCAGGGATGACACTCACGTCTGCCTTCTTGAATTTGGCCTTCAGGCTCTTCATGGTGGCTCCAGCCTCAGCCTCGGGGCACCCGGACGGGGAAGGACCGTGCTTGAGGGTCTCTCCCGGCTCAGGCACCCCCAGACCCGCTCGGGCACCCCCAGACCCGCTCGGGCACCCCCAGACCCGCGGCTCCCGGAGCCCTGTCCCTCTCTGCCGGTTCCCAGGAGCCGCAGCGCCCCGCGCGGGGGGGACCAGACGCCCGGGGGGT